CCACGACAGGCGCAGCACGTGGGTCGTGCCTGCAAGGGGGCAATACAGGAATATACTCTATCTCACTGATAGACAGCACGTACTGCCCGTCCGGGGACCACGACAGGCGCAGCACGTGGGTCGTGCCTGCAAGGGGGCAATACAGGAATATACTCTATCTCACTGATAGACAGCACGTACTGCCCGTCCGGGGACCACGACAGGCGCAGCACGTGGGTCGTGCCTGCAAGGGGGCAATACAGGAATATACTCTATCTCACTGATAGACAGCACGTACTGCCCGTCCGGGGACCACGACAGGCGCAGCACGTGGGTCGTGCCTGCAAGGGGGCAATACAGGAATATACTCTATCTCACTGATAGACAGCACGTACTGCCCGTCCGGGGACCACGACAGGCGCAGCACGTGGGTCGTGCCTGCAAGGGGGCAATACAGGAATATACTCTATCTCACTGATAGACAGCACGTACTGCCCGTCCGGGGACCACGACAGGCGCAGCACGTGGGTCGTGCCTGCAAGGGGGCAATACAGGAATATACTCTATCTCACTGATAGACAGCACGTACTGCCCGTCCGGGGACCACGACAGGCGCAGCACGTGGGTCGTGCCTGCAAGGGGGCAATACAGGAATATACTCTATCTCACTGATAGACAGCACGTACTGCCCGTCCGGGGACCACGACAGGCGCAGCACGTGGGTCGTGCCTGCAAGGGGGCAATACAGGAATATACTCTATCTCACTGATAGACAGCACGTACTGCCCGTCCGGGGACCACGACAGGCGCAGCACGTGGGTCGTGCCTGCAAGGGGGCAATACAGGAATATACTCTATCTCACTGATAGACAGCACGTACTGCCCGTCCGGGGACCACGACAGGCGCAGCACGTGGGTCGTGCCTGCAAGGGGGCAATACAGGAATATACTCTATCTCACTGATAGACAGCACGTACTGCCCGTCCGGGGACCACGACAGGCGCAGCACGTGGGTCGTGCCTGCAAGGGGGCAATACAGGAATATACTCTATCTCACTGATAGACAGCACGTACTGCCCGTCCGGGGACCACGACAGGCGCAGCACGTGGGTCGTGCCTGCAAGGGGGCAATACAGGAATATACTCTATCTCACTGATAGACAGCACGTACTGCCCGTCCGGGGACCACGACAGGCGCAGCACGTGGGTCGTGCCTGCAAGGGGGCAATACAGGAATATACTCTATCTCACTGATAGACAGCACGTACTGCCCGTCCGGGGACCACGACAGGCGCAGCACGTGGGTCGTGCCTGCAAGGGGGCAATACAGGAATATACTCTATCTCACTGATAGACAGCACGTACTGCCCGTCCGGGGACCACGACAGGCGCAGCACGTGGGTCGTGCCTGCAAGGGGGCAATACAGGAATATACTCTATCTCACTGATAGACAGCACGTACTGCCCGTCCGGGGACCACGACAGGCGCAGCACGTGGGTCGTGCCTGCAAGGGGGCAATACAGGAATATACTCTATCTCACTGATAGACAGCACGTACTGCCCGTCCGGGGACCACGACAGGCGCAGCACGTGCGTCGTGCCTGCACGGGGCAATACGGGAATATACTCTATCTCACTGATAGTTGTAGTTTCGAGCATACGTCACTATTTCACACAGAAACTGCTGAATGAATTTAAATGAAACGTTTACACGCAGACATAGATTATAAGTACTGTACAGCAGACTGTACAGTTGGTGGAGGAGCTAACAACTGGCAAATGCGTAACTTATAGTGACTTCAATTCCTGCATGCAACTAATATCTGTGTAATCTCTAAATTGTGGCACTTTTTTTGAGGGTACAAATCATCCAATGACTTCTCCCGCCTAGGTGAGGTGAGACAGAGTGTCAGACTCTTACAGAGTAAAAGATAAATTCTGGTCCTGAATTTGGATGTGCTATGTAAAAAAATATGTCGTGTTATGTACCTCCACACTCCTCAAATGGCTCAGTGATTACAATCTCTTGCGCCCAGTCCGCTGTCTTCCAAACCCTCAGTGACTTGTCATCAGACTGAGAGGCCAGATATTTGCCCACCTGGAAAGATTTACATAAGAGATATAGGTTTTCATAAAAATAAAAATAAATATAATGGGTAATTAGAAGTTATTATCACTTACGGCTTTAATACTAATTACAACACTTTTATAGAGAGAGACAGATTCAAGAACATGGAATGATAAAACAAGTATTTGCGGGAGAGCCATGCTTCGGCACGAATGGGCCAGCTCGATCAGAGTGATACCACGGCCACACAGAGACAAACGCAAGCGTTTCGTCGTGTGGGTGAGGTTACCGGAGGCCCAATTACCCTCCCTTCCCCAATCTCCCCAATTCCTGAATCCCCAACGATCCTCAAACTCCTAATCCCCAAAAGCCCAGTAACGCACTGTCTGACTCACTGTCACGTCTGCTCGTTTACCGGCTTACGCCATAAAAATAAATATTTGTATGTATGTACATGAACCACATAAGTACTAAGTGAACTGTCCAATTCTCAAGCGGTCACCGGTGACCGCTCTCCACTTACTCCATTATAGACCTTGTTTCCGATGTTTAGACACTACTTTTGTATAAACAAATTTTGGTGATTTTCGGTATGATATATCAACGTTTTAAACAACAAATATAAATCCGTGTTCTTATACAAAGAAATAACTTATTATGTTTTCGGCTTACTCACGTAGTGATTCGACGAGGAACTCGACTAGTTTCAAGCCATGCTAGAGGCTCATATTCATGAGCCAATATAAAAGAGACAGACCTCTGAGTTTGTTTCGGCATTTCTTCTCAGAGTAGTCAGTTAGGAAGTGCTGCCTTGTAGCCTATTTGCAGAAATAAATTCACTTGTTTCACTTGTTTCACTTGAGCAGCATTTCGCGACCCGCGACGCGGCGACTGTCGCGCTGCTACTCACTGTAGCGTCGCGACAGTCAGACATGAATATGAGCCTCTGCCATAAATATGGCTTGAAACTAGTCGAGTTCCTCGTCGAATCACTACGTGAATAAGCCGAAAACATAATAATTTATTTAGTATGTCTCACGAAAGTTACAATACAAAGAAATAACTTATTGTCAACAACAGATTACCATAATGAGAAAAAAGATAATAATAAATTCAGGTAGATACTCACCGGATCCCAAGCCACCCCTTTCACCAGACCACTATGTCCGTTTAGCACACACACCATTTCCGGAAACTTTTCAGCATTCCAAATGATGATGGAGTTGTCCACGCTACAGCTTGCAAGCCATTTGTCTAGCGGTGACCACGCTAAGTCCAGGACATCACCTGTTTTACAAAAAAGGAATTCATTATCATACTTCTTTATAGTGTAGTTTGATTAGAATACAATTGCCAAATTCAGTTTATTAGTCATTAGAATTGATACATAAATTATATTTAGTACCTAGCTTTGTATTTAATAATAAAATAGTTTGCCATAACCACCATGCTTGGCAAATGGGGTGGAGATTGCATAACATCACGCCTTTAATACCCGAAAGGGTAGGCAGAGGTGCACATTACGGCACTTAATAATCACTTAAGAATAATGGAAAGATAATTAGTTATGCTGAAAAATTTTCATCACAAACCTGCATGGCCTCTCAATGTAGCCAAGCACCGCCAGGTCTCGGCCTTGTGTTTGCCCGGAGTAGCATTAGCAGCCACACTGAGTCCCCAAACCATAACCAGTCTATCATCTCCGCCTGATGCCAGGTATTTGCCGCCATTACTCCAACGGACGCAGTTTACGCAAGCTGAAAAATGTTGTTTTACTTCTAATAAGTTTATTATTAAGACTAATATTCATTGAGGTTTTACAAGTAGATTATAATAGGTTATCTTTTAGTTTTCAGTTCCTTTTGAGAGTAAATAACAATGTTGATTTAAGTACTGATAATGTGGAATGTGTGTAAAATAGTATTAAATATGTATAGCAAAAGGTTTAAATGATTGGATGTATGTTTTAATAAGTAACTGACGATGTCTTTCATAGATGTTTCACTAATTAGTAATTCGGGTAATAAAAAATATACTTGTTTGAACAAGTATGCTTTAATTGGTCTATATTAAACCAACCATGTGCAATAACGATTAAGATAGAACATGTATTAGTTACCGAGGTCAGTGTAAGCTACAACTAACCTAAATGATTATCCATCTGACAAAGCATCTTGGGGATGTTGGGATCCACCTCCACTGATTCAAATAGAACTGGGTTCAGGTTCCAGACCACGACCCGCCCGGAGTCCCCGCCTTGACCCCCAGTCGCGAATCGCTTCCCCGTAGGGTGTATGTCCACCGAAAATATCGGTTTATCTGAAAATAAAACTAATTAGTCCCAGGAAACTTCCAATAAGTAAAGTCACTTTTGAATAACAAAACCGCTCATATTTACCATCGTGATTCACCCAACTGGGCTTTAGCAGCTTCATTTGTAATGTGTTTATTAAATTAAACTGAAAATAACAGCTAATAATCAAAATAAATACAGCTTTTTTCCCACTTTATTTATTTTATTGTAGTGACACTGACAGCATCAACAATTCAACGCCGCCCGCCCGGCTATTTGAGGAGTCCGTTCGGAAGCATGATTAATCATTTCATAAATTACTACATAATACTTACATAGATTTTATTAGCATAACATTTTATCAGTATGGGTACAAAATATCATAAAAAAAGGTATAGAAATATTGTTTATCGACAATGATACTAATCAAATAGGCATAGGCTGACAGATAAAGCAGATTGGTTTCTGACTGTTAGCAAAACCGTCAACTCGAACGCGATTGTGTGCACGTTTTGAAGTTCTGTTGATTTCTTTGTAATTTTGAAATACATTTATTAAAAAAGCGGCATGAGAGGAGCAGACACCCTGATACCGGCTAGATTCTTAACATTAACCAGTCATCTATCAGCAGTTGTAACTTTGCTATGGGAGAGCCAGGAGAGCACTCGACACTGTTTGCCGAGCCACTTTCACGACGATCATTTCCAATTATATCACAGCCGGTAAGTATTATTGTCTAGATGTACAGAGAATACTTGGCAAAATAAATGTAGAAAAGCTGCTATGAAAATGGTACTAGATTTCTGTTACGTTTTTGTCATACATTAGCATTTTAATGACGGCACCGCATCGTTCGAACGCACCTAGATTACGGGATACCGCAACTCGATGCGGGTTGCGGATAAATGTAGGGCATTCGGCCAAGTTTAAATTGGGACAGTAGGATCATTCTAAAAACGCAATAAAGAACGTACTTTACTCAACAAAGTTATTTTCGGTAAATATTTTGCTAAATCTCTGATGTCTGCACTCACTTTTAACGCCTATGCAAGTTGCCATAGCAACGTTGACGCTAATATGTGTATGTAAATGCAGTATTTTAATTACTAGAATAAGTAAAACAAACTATAAAGTAACATCAATTTATTGTGTACAAATTCTTGTTAATTTCTAAAATTCTAAAATAAATAAATTCCTTAAGATATTAATCCCTTTAATAAATTTAATAAAACACCAATAAAACATAAAAAATAAGTAAATTACTTAATCAAAATAAAACCTTAAAACACTGGAAAACAGTGCAAGTTGCAACATAAATATGTTTGCACTTAATATGTTTAGAAAGCAATCAGCTAATTGTTTACTCCAAGTTATTGCAGCAATAATATTAGCCATAAGCTTAACTACAAGTTGTGCAAACATGTCAAAGTTTATACTGGCCAGCTACACGAGGCAAATAAAGCAACAATATTGTTTATAGTCTATGGTCCATGACCAAGGCAGTAACTGTAAACAATGTGGAAAATGATTCATTAAGTTTTCTTGATGATAAAAGAACTCACAGTAAAATAAAATGTAACATACAAAATAAATATTTTTATTTATATTATTTTTGTATTAACTAAAAAAAGATTGATGCAATTTAGTGTTGCTATGTGAGTAATATTTCATACAGTAATTAAAACACGAACCTGGACTGAAAAAAATAGTCAAGAAAAAATGATAGGCATTAGCTATTTATGTTAACTCGTCGAGTACCGGTTTTATAGACACAATTATAGAACAATAGGTAGCGGTCACCGGTGACCGCTTGGTGTTTGACAGTTTAAAAGGTACAAATTAGCCATACTATATATTTTTTTTTGGGAAGTAGGTACACCACTGTGTCCACTAGTACCTTACAACAGTTAATTAAAAGTATAGACAAAAAATGAGTCTGTAGGTACATACATCAACTCATTTTTTTATATACTTTATGAGTATAGAATGATAAACTTCCTATTTAATAATCATTATCTTCTCATTAATTAAAAACATAACTGGATGTAAGGCAACACCAGGTGGGAAGTAAGTGCATTGAGTATGTTGAAACTGGTGTAAACCGGTTCAATGGGGTATGTGCGTTTACACAACCTTATGTGTTTGGGATTAGTGAGCCATTGTAGAGTATATGTGTGGTGAACTGAGCTTGGTTGTGGATGTGAGGGGCTAGGGTTGGTGAGTTGAATCATCATCACCATGAACAGCTAGAAGAAGTCCACTGCTGGATAAAGGTCTTCCTCCTAGTCTTCCACGTCGCACGACAACTCGCCATTTACATCCACTGGCTCCCCGCGAGTCCGGCGATCTCGCCGGTGGTGAGACGATTTTTGGGTAAGAAAAATTATCTTCATAGGATGGTATTGGCAGAAAGAGAAGGAGTAAACAGAGAGACAAGGAGGTGATTTTTTTAAGGGGTAAAGTCATCGAATGTTCTCCCACCTAAGTGAGGCGGGAGTGAGTGTCAGACTCTTACTGACTAAAAACTACCCCGTTCCTACTCCTGCACTTCGAGCCGGAGCTTCGGTAACCAGTTAAGTTCTCCGCGGCTCTGTAGACAAGGAGGTGATAGAAATAAATTGCACAGGGTGATAATTTGTAGAGTACAGGATTTGTTATTTCTCTGGGTGTCTAAGTTAAGGCCTAACATTTTTTGTCTATTTTCTTTTTCTATTAGAAAGCCAGTTTGCCAAATTGATATTCTTCGTGCAGGCTTAGTACCATGATGCTCTTTTACATGGGGTTCCATAATTTCCATTTTACTGCAAATTGTATTTTGTTTTGTTAGTAACGTTGACTTGTTTCTTTTTAATTGAATCCGTGATAAAGGAGGCCAAGCATTCGATAGGGAAATATACGAAGTCGTGTAGGTTACTGTCGTAATAAAGAGCGAAGTGGATCCGCAGAATACGGCCATTTCATTCCGTTAAACGTTACGACCTTCCGCCTGTGGGAGTTAATTGCTTTTCCCCATATCTAGTTGTATGACCTTTATTGAGAGTTAGGAGTAGTGCGGAGATCGTCACTTATAGGTACTCAATGTGATTGCAGAAGCCTCGAGGGAAACCTTATTATCTCGTCGATTGTGCAGAATTAATTAGATGAAGAGACAAATACTTCCTTGACAACTCTCTTGCACAAATCAATTAGCATTTTCGTGCAGTTATTTTTTGCATATTGTTTGAAAGTCGTCTGGACGCCATATTGCTGTAAAACAGACTCGCAAAGTCGTAAGATGGATAGTTGTTTTGCACCAATATGGCGTACATCTTTATGTCCTGTCGCTGATGAAACTCATCCTAATTATCATGATGAAGTAAAAGCAACATGCCATTTTTACACGTTTAACTAACGCTAAAACAAACCGGCTCGGACCAGAAAAAAATTCGAAAGGCATGTGATGAGATGACGTCCATCAACACACTCAATCCTCGTGAAGTTCCACACACTACACCACGAGGTATCTTGCCTATATTTAAACATTACTGTATTTAAACAACAATACCAATATTGAAACTATTAAATCAAACCATAAAACAAGGCATTATTTCTTATTTATCTAGTTAATGCTTTATAGGTTTCTGTAATCTCGTATTCTTATCAATGTTTGTTCAAGCTACTTGTACAACCACTTACCTCTCCTATATAATTACTACCTAATCATAAAATTAATCGTTTAATTGCCTGGAGTTATAGTTAGAGAAATTTCCTATCTGACGGCTAAACAAACTGAGCTATGGCAGTTTCCTCGCGTCTTATCAACCGTGCCCTTATTGGTTCTTGAAACCACTAACCACTTGCAGCTGATGAGAGATCATTCACATCCATGCATTATCAGTACTCTATCCCTTTGTGACATCGAACTTTTTTGCAGATCGCAAATCTATAGGATACTCTTTTAGCTATTGAATACCTTTCAATGTTTCGGAGCATTATGATGTACCAAAACGACTTGATTTTTAAAACGGCTTGTTTATCGCCATCTGATAAATCATGAGAGACCTTTAGTTTAATTATTTTCATTAAAGAACTTAACGCAACTCGTGACTGACATCCCTGATTACTTGGTCCTATCCCAACAACCGATAATAACCGGTTAAAATTGCCAGCGACTATCCAAAGTTTACAAAACACGAGGTGTAATGACGAGCACCGGACACTATGGTTGTAGTGCGCCTGCGCAGCTCCGCAGCGGTCAGGCGACTCCACCAATACCGCTCACGTGAACAGTGTAACTTAGTTTTTAAAGTAATTTGAGCTATATCAAGTAGTTTCAAACATTCTGGTTTTATTATCAGCCAGATTTCAATTTCCAAGTGTATCCCAGTTAAATATATGGGGTCAACGGCCTCTAGCGAAGTAAGTTGCTTTTATCTATTGTTGTAATATTTTCCTGTTTGTATTTATTTCTTTTGTCTCGTAATTCTGTGGAGGTTGTATGATATGTATTATTATAATAATTAAAATAAAAGAGCACTGGTTATACAATTATCGTGTCCTCGTGTTTATTTTAAAGGAGTCTGCGATAGTGATGATAGTCATTTTACATCTGCCATCATCCTTCCTTTAATTGTAGCTAGGTAATACCGCGTACGTGATAGTACTAAGAATAAAATACCAATATGTTCGTGTGAAGAAATTCCAACAGAGCATATGTTAGACAAAAATATGGGAATAAAACAATATAAATTCCTCTTTAAATCCCTCCTCAAGATAGCAATGTTCTTAGATTACCAATATCAATTGTTTTTTTTTTGTCCGTCTAAGATATTTGGGAGATCACAAAGTAATTACGAGCAATCTATGTGGTTAAAATTTTGTGTGCTTAAGCTAATTAGTGTCACAAAAATAGTTTTAAAGAAGACTGTCTGGAGGACAGATATGACGACAAATTCATATTTGTACCTCGTACGGCCCTTCGTGCGTCCTCATGTGCCGAAGGGCAACAATCATATTGTTGACGATGGCTTAGAATTACATACATACACACAGTCGATACAAAGAAACTGTCATAGTTACTCATGAATAAGATTTAAATGAGAAAATTAAAGAGTTTAAAGAGTTCTTAATCTCAAGCGAGTTTGGTGAACTACCGCAAATTTTCTTCAAGTTTAAAAACCGCTCCGAACACGAGCTGAGCACAGTTCACAAAGCTCTTTATCGAGATAGGCTGCAAGCCAACATCTATCCTTCAAGTGCTCTACTTTAAACACCAATGTTTGAAGAACTCCCCCTAACTTTTTCTAACTTCCTACCTTTAATGCTATCGGTGATTTGATGTTGAAATGACTAACTAATTCAATTTCAAATGCTTCCTTGTTATCCAGACATTTTGAGTGATTGTGATTGTGTCTTTAGATCTGCAGGCCCTAATATTATTGGTTGTTGGCAAGTCGCTGTTATCTCTTTCATCCATTTATCATCTGAAAGTCGCACGGTTTTAGAGTTCATTGTTAGACAATCCGCGGTCTTAAAATATTTGCTCGAGTGCTTAGATACTTAAACAGTTTATTTTTGGAGAAACCGGAGTTTGTCTTTGTTTTAGATTTTAGCTGTCATAATACATCATTTTTCATGACTAGCGCGTGTACATTGATACGAAAATATTCCTAAAGGGGACGCAATGACGACGTGGTTACTACGCTGTATAAGAACATCGCAGCTCCTCGCGCAAGCTGTGTTG